TGTACAGAAAGCAAGGAAAGCTTTGTACTACTTGGAGCCGAAAGAGCTGAGACTGAAGGTAAGTCCAAGTATTGGTCCATCACAGGATGGAACGCTTCTCTTCTTGAGCATGCCGAAATACTTCTAAACATTTTTTAAGCTGCGAGAGTTTTCGGGCAAGTATGGATGTAACAGCCTCGTTGAAGGAAGTAAGGTGAAGATTGTATGCCTCTACCAAGTGTGAGCTGATCTTTTTCTTCTGAAAGATCAACACTTTCGCAAAAAAATTGAATAAAGATTTCTGAAATGAATAGAGTCGAATGAAACGAAAAACGAAGCATTAAGTTGAACAATTTCCGTTGTTGTATTGCGATTTGAAGTTAGAACGGGATTCCCCTTTAGCGTTTGTGGATTTCCTCAATCTGTTGACTAATCATGGCACGTTTGGTTGCCAGGAAGTCCATATGTTGGTTGGAATAACAGTCCGCTGTCTACATAGAAAATGGTTGCGAAATACAGCAACGTGGTGTTAATCAAATAGCTTATGATCAACAATTTCGACCGAATGCCTCATGAAAAATTCTACCCTGATCGCGAATACTAAAGCCAAGTGAATGAAAAATCGGCAAGGCGTACATAGTCAATAGACCTAGCATGAAAGCAAATTGTGGCTCTCTTCAACCGCTGCATAGAGCCTTCTTCAAGGAGGGGCGCCGCTACAGCACCTAAACAAGGTGCAACAAGTCGACTCAACGCCCATCGCAACCACCCGCCCCAAATGGCCGCACGGTCACAACGCTGGTACTCACTCGCTTCATTGATGAAGTACAGTTGATATGAAGCATTGCAGCATAGATATACGAACTCATGCGTTCAGCAATATCTATCGGCGTGGTTACTGGCACGATGCCAACGGACCCCAGTAAAATCCCTAAACAATGATATGCCCTGTGGGGCATGCGGCAAGAGAATCGTAATTGGGCGTCGCGTGCGACGTCGCGCCCGGTGATGACGACGATTTTATGTGGTACTGATCGATAATAGACAACGTATGACCGAAACTAGACATATTTCGTCCTATCCTTTCGCTACCCTGTCGATTGGAGCGTCGAGTTTTGTGTCCTTGCCTACATAAAATCCGATACTCCAATCGAAAGGGTAGTGCAAGTGAAGGAAACGTCGCGTCCATTGCCGCGCGCGACGAAGCGGCAATTTACGATTCTCTTGCCCGTCTCTCAGAAGCTTGCCGGTATTTATATGCATACATTCGCAGGAATCAATATGCTGAGAAGGGGTTACAGGTGTGCTTCCCACAAGGTTATTAGCCCTCCGCTATCAATAAACCGCTGTTGTGCTTGGCCAAGTGGGGCGACTATGCAGGAGCACAAGTTTGTGGGCACGGCTTTTCCACATGAATTTCGGTTTGAGTTTGCTAAAGAAGTGTTTCGCTTTGCCTTTCCCTCAGGAGGTACCGCACTCTCACTGTATTCTTATATTTGCGGGCTAGAACCTAATAGAGAAGCGTTAAAGGAATTTCGCGATCAAAATTTCGGTAATGTAGTATTTATATCATGAACAAGTAGCTCGTAAGTAATGCTTCGTGTTAGAAAAGAAGCGAGAAAAAAAAACGCTTAGAAACGACGCATGTTATAGAAGCCACCCGTCAGCGGTGGGGCTGACGGGCCTTGGGCGAGCCCATCATTGTGGACGAGCAGAATCAAAGATGCTACGTGCAACAGTACCGGATTGAGATATGGAATCGCGACGACGCGAAGCAACGATGTGTACGGCAAGGCATGTTCAGCTTGTTAAGCCCGTTGTCTTGGTAGAGTGAAAATAATCTCGGTTGAAATTGGTTGCCACATATCACTTGTCTCTAGTTCTTTTATCTCGTGCTTCCGGCTGACGAAAAGGGTTACCATCCCGTTTCGAATGCAGAACAACGGATGGCAATGGATGGCACTTTGTGCGGACACAAACTTGATTCGGGTGCACCGGTCCTCTAAGCTTCCGTTGATTTCATTGCTTGCGATCTATAACTATAAACATTCCAATTAAGTCCTCCTACTGCGATGGAAGCCCGGGCAACCCCATTGTGTTCAAGATGATCAATGCGTGTACCCCTCCAGTGCTTCAAGAAAAAACAGACTTGTTGAATCTTGGAAAAGAATAGGGATGGTTGGAAAATTTTGGAATAGGAAAGTTTGGTCGCAGGGCGCCTGCCGTTTTGGGAAACTTTTTTGCATGGATACGACCACAAACCGCCCCCCCCCCTCAAAAGTGATCACTCGTGCTATCCACATAACCTCATCTTACTTATCATCTCACTATATCTCTACACTGATTTTACTAATTCCTACTTGTTTTCCCTAAACTGTCGGCCGTACACTGGTCGTGGCACAGGTGGAAATAATAAGTAAGGAATTTGTCTATGTAGTACATATAAATGGACTTTGATATATACACATCTCGTCACTTGTGATTACATTGCGAACTCAATAAAAAATTTATCAATAAAAATGACCAGAACAAATGTGCAATAAATTATACCCGTTAATATCGCATTATACGTGAAATGAGATCACATGCAAAGTTTACAATGACGCACGAACCGTTGCCGTAGCCGGCGGGATAAAGTAGCGAATATTCAGAGAAAATACAAATCCGCCTGTGTACTTGAAAATTAGAAAAGTGAAAAATGGAGTTGTACGTTTTCGAAAATGAAATGCACTTTGAAATCGCAGAAGAATTTTCCGGAAATTCACTAACTCCCGGTAGTCAGAATGAGTAACAAATCAAGGCCTATACAGACTTGAGTAGGAAGAGCTAACAAATACTAAACAACAACGATTTTTGCCTAAAAAGTGCTGATGTTTCTGCAAATACCACAACCCAGAGCGAACTCTTCGCCAGCCGGCGGATGTGGTCGCCGCAGGGGACAAGGTCCTTCACCCGGAGTCGCTCTGGGACCGGTGGGACATGGAGGGAACTGATTCCGAGGTAGACAGACGAGACGCTGGAAATCGTCATGACAGGCCGCGCAGAAGTGCGTTGTACCGAAGCTGAAAGAGTAAGGATTAAACAGTTCACGTTGAGCAGATCCTAGAGGGGGAAGAGCGACACCTACCAAAAATAGACGGCAATCGAACAGCAGTACCGGCACTTGTATTCGAGATATTCGGCACCGTGACGACCACAAACCTCCGTACCTGCTGGTGCTGAGCAGCCACCACAAACCAGCTCAGCGGCGTTGTACTGGAACGACTGCAGGGCCTAAAAAAGATCAGTATACAAGAGGAAATTCGGCATATGTTAACCCATTGCGTACCGCGGCGTTTTCGCGAAAACGGGCGCCTGTGGCCGACGCCTTTTTGTCGACGCGACTCATGGCGCGCCGAGTATAAACAAATAAGATTTTTATCACATACATATGACATAAAAATAATGCATCTACTTCGTATTATACATTACACTTGTATGCATGACTGTGATAAGTAAAACTGGATACCATTACGTGATAAACGTGATGGGCTAAAAACATGCGAAAATTGACAAAAAGGTTGATAAATTCAAAAGGATTGGAAACAGGACGTAATATGTTTATAAATTGTTCAGCTTTACTATTTTGCGAATTTTTAGTGGAGTCACAGCCAGAATTTTGGCTTGACTGGTTACTAAGAAATAAACAAAGGATATAGTAGCTGAAGAATTTCCCGAAAAATTTCGATAACTCAGCTCTAGTTCGGTCCCGCAATTTCCCACACGTATATTTCTTTCCGGGAGACTTCACAAATATACTGACACTCTTGAGTCATCTAGTAATGCTAAATAAGTTCAAACAAGCGTGCTGCACCATGTGTAGCACGCGGCCATACAGAGGCAAACGAGCGTGCTGCACATGGTGCAGCACGCGGTACGCAATGGGTTAACGCAGTCATTGGAAGCTTAATTATGTTGAACGGAAAACCCAGGACCTGGGCTCAGTTGAATCTTATCGATGGTTTTACAAGTGTAACTACCGTGCTCCTAGTGGTTTTGATAGTACTGAGCGTATAGATCGTGCTTAGCATCTAGAAAGAGTTTTGCGAGCTGACATTAGACGGCCCATTGCTAAGCGACACCCCTTCTGCGCTCGACGCCCAGCTTACCTCTCAATCCCCTTAGCATGGACGCCCTAGCATTACCCCCTCAGTGAATGGCGTACAAGCCAGGTGGTTCAACTTACAGCAACAAATCATGTCAGAGTGCCACCCATGATAAACCTTCGCCGGGAATCGAGTTTCACACACTGGTTATAACACGCATCTTGTCAGCTGTCGCTAGAAATGGAATCTCATGACCCATATCAGGGCACATCGTTGTTGGGGAATCCCCAACAGGTCGTATTTGGTCTCCGGAGAGGGGGGTCGTATTTGGGCTAAGAAAAATTTATTTTGATATTATAGTTTATTTTCCTCGCTTCGCGGACGTTGTAAGGTGAGGGTCGTCCTTTTTCGTTGTAAGGAGGGGAGGGGGTCGAATGGAGAGGTGGTTGTCGTGATTTTTCCTGTTTCATGGGTACTATATACCCACTATCCTCCCCGCTCGACAGCTTGAGGGCAGAGACCAGAGGGAGGAGGGGGTCGTACCGACCCCCAAAAAAGGAGGGCTCTCACGGACTCGACCAAAATCCCCAACCAATGATGTGTCCTGAACTAAATCTCACCGCCTGGTCGTCCTGCGTCCAAACCTTCACGCTCCGCCATTTTATCCAGCCCACCGATAGCAAAATCATGAGCGATTAGAATAGGTGAGCGAAAATAATTTGCATCTAATGCTGAAACCGTTGCGGTGACGAATCCCAGAAAGTATGGCGCCGAATGCAATGCAGAGGCACTTGTTTCTGTTGATAGTGGAAAGACCATTGATGGAAGCCCAGTAAGGGCTACCTCCCCCCCCCACTTGCTCCCAGAAGGCCGATAATGCTTCAGGTGGAGGCTGATAATGCGTTGCCCTCAGCTCTTGGGGTGCTGACGGAGTGAAGTCTTACTGTAGCCTATACTTACGTGAAAATGAAATAACTCCACAGGCCTAATTCAGGCTTGCAATAAAGTGCTTACCATTTGACAACGACTCTCTCCTCCAAAGTACGCCTTCTGGCAGATATTACACAACACGTACATATACCGATCCATCGCGTATTCTTCTGGGCGGCCGTAGTATTCGCTGAAACTCGTTCATTTGGAAGAGACTACTTCAACGATTCTCGGTCCAAGCAAAGTACTGTTGATACTTCGAGCTGAAAAATATGAGATCTGAAAAGAGCAAACCTCTGAGGATCAGTCAAAGCTGTGCAGCCTAGGAGGCCATCGAATTCAAGTCGCATGTTTGCCTTCTGAGCTACTTCAGCTTTCAATGCCAACAGCGGCTCGAGCAAATCACTTAAGCCAGAGTGCGACATCTGAAAATCAGATATATGATCCTTTGAAGGGATCTAGCTGCAGAACTACAGGGGGGGGGCAAAAAAGTCACTTCGACCGAGTCACATATCAGCAAAGTTTTCGCTGCCCAGACAGAGGACGTGGATACCAGATGTTCCTTGATAAGCAGGAGCTGGCTCTCGCCCATCACCTTCATGTACACCAAAATATGAAGTCATCTCCAGTCGCAGCCTGACTGGAGAAGACCTTCGGAATTCATGTCACCTCCAAACAGCTGCGAAACTTCTAGTATGGAGTCACCCATGGATAGCTACCTGGAGACCAGTACTCTCGATCTGGAAGACCTCCAACATCGAGCAGCTCCGACAACGTCGCTACGGTCTAGGACATCATCTTCACCGCAGTCGCCAAGGCGCGAGTTGATGGTATGGACCGGACGTAATGCCGAGAATTCAGGATGAAAGGAGTTGGGATCTACTTCGAGTAAGGAAGCCTTTCCGTGGATTTGGGTGTGATAAAAGCAACTTAACAAAGTTCAGCAGAAGTTAACACAGAAGAACGAAAGGGGATATCATTTGATTGCGGAAGTTGTTGCCACCGTCAACATTTATAGAACGCTGAAACACTTTTTTACAACACATTTGCTCTGAATTTTTCCTGGAAGCTTTTTCGATGAAGGAATTATTTTTCATAGTTAGCACAGCAGCACTCCACGTATGCCACAACGGAAGCAAAGCGCATTGCGATGCAGTTATTCCGAACATGAAATTCGCTCTCTGTTCTCTGTCCTCCCCGAAACCGCTCTGAGCTTGGAATCATGGTAGGCCAGCCAAAAGCCAGGTCGTGTAACAAGAGTTAGCCTTTGACTTGGTAATCTTCCATGAGCTGGTGATCTAAACACACTGTGGCTCGCAATTTTGGGATGTTTATCACGGACTTCATACTGAACGGTTCAATTTTATAAGTACGCGGTAATTTTCGGTACGATCAGTTGACCATGAGCAAGCTGCACATTCAAAATAACTACAACACAGTGCTCCTCATTTCCGGCTGGTCCGTTTGGACTCATACACTTTTGGCAGCGAGCTCATTTATGAAGTGCCAAATTCACCAAATCCGCTGAAAAGTTTTAAGGGTAATTAACATCCTGATTACGAATATGACAGTCATGCATAGGTCTGGCGCTAATGGAAGACACTACGATTTTCTTCTGACCAGGAAAGGTCAACAGGTCAGCCTGGCCATTTGCAATGGGATGCACATCACTGTACT